AATTACTTTATGATTGAACTCAACTTTCTTCTCAATTGCATGCAATGCTGCCAAAAACACAGCCTTGGTGCGTGGGACGGGATGTATATGCAATAAATTCAAAATGTCGCATCCTGACCTTTGGATAAGCTGTTTTGTAAACTAGATCTGGCGACTTGAACTTGATCTTGATTCACCCTCTATATAAGTCGCCCAACACTTACCGGCTACTTCACTCTTGTCTCCACTTCACCTGGGCAACATGAAGGGTTTGGTAAGTAATGAAGTGTGAAACTAGGATAAGGTATTAGTATATCGATCATTACCTCATATACTTACATTACATAGTATCAGGCTACATTCAATCGTTGTAATCAACCCATTGTAAGAACTACCCCCAAATATTACACTGGATAGAGCTTTAGATTGCAATTATTATCGTAAACATAAAAAAAATTAAATATATATTGTTTTATCACAGTTTATTTCAAAACAAGCACTTCTTAATTTGTATTAACTTGTGGCTAAGTAGTACTGTATTTCAAAAATAATGTTTATACTTTTAATGACTAAATAGTACAACACCTATCGAGTAATGAATTTAAACTTCACCTAAGTACTAAATTAAAAATAAAGTTTATCGATGTAATCTTATAAATCCAATTACAGTTAAATTAGTTGTATTGAATTGGGACACTTTTTCATGATATTAAAGATGTGAAACAAAACTTCATTTGATATTAGGCGACTCAAATACATATCACAGTAGGAACTTAGCATTATAGCAAATTTATCTAAGTAATAATGGTCTGGTACTCGGGCATTGAGATGTCCAACCTGTAAAGGTTGATTTTCATTTCAGTTACAGTTTCGTATTTCATTAATTCATTTAAAAAAAATAACTATCCCCAGTTTATCGATACTTAATTTTGAAAAAAAGTGAAAGAAGGCGTAACTTTAAAGGTAATTGAACAAAAAACATCTTTTCAAAAGTTTCCAAACAACCATTTGGTGTGCACTGACAAACCCAACGTAAAACACAATCATTAATATTTCGCTCGATAAGTTTTAGCTTTATTTTAAATGTATAAGTTATTCAAATGAGATTTAAAATATTGAATCCGTCTTCACACTAAATAATCCAAATCATTTTGAAGGTCTTAGTATGATGGAAATTATAGTGCTAGATTTGTTTCTAAAGGTCAATGTTTCCATATTTAATTAAATGCCAGATACAAAAAAATAAGATTTTTTGAAGAAGTGTATATACGAGAAAGCGACTAGTTATATACGTTTTAAGCGAGATAAGTAATGAGAATAAATACACCGTATAATTTTTAAAATTATTTTAATTTTGTAAATAAATTACTATTGAAAAACACAATGGAATCACAACAAACAAACAACAAACAAAATGATCTTATTCGTTTATGTCTTACCTTTCTTCTTTGAACATTAAACTAACCATTAAATTTTGAAGGGATCTAATCTCATCGTTAATGTAATAATAGGTTAATTAATTTTATTTTGAACAATAGGACAGTTATTTTACAAATATATTAAATTCGTCCAGAAAACCCGTGACAGAAAGTTATGCAAAATTATTCAATTACCGTTAAATAAGTGTTTTAAATTATGAATTTAATTGTAAATATAATAACTTTATTTCAGGTTGTGTTTGTAGCACTGGCAGTCTCAGCATTTGCAGCTCCTCAGGTGGTACCCTTGGCACCAGCTTACCAGTCTTACCAACCTATAACCTACAAATCACAATACGCTCCTGCAAAGATCGCCTTTGCCGCCCCTGCTACTTACCAAGCCGACGCTCCTGCTTATAAGGTAAATATATACTGTATATTCAGGGAAGTGTAACGAATCATTTACAGTAACTAGGAGCAACAAAGATATCAAGAAAAATGTTTAATTATTGTATGGACATTTTTACACTTTCCCCCAAACTGACCAAATTGACTGAATAAATGTTTACAAGAGTGCATTTTTGAATAAAATCTACCTTTCTGTTGATTTGTTTTACTAATTGGTTTTGAACGGCGATGATATTTGTGGGTATTTATGACACATCCAATGAAATCTAATGTTGATCAAACCTTGCATCCATTATATATTTACTTAAAATCCAAAAAAAAGTCTTGTAAACAGTATGTTGACTCATACATAAAAAATTTAATATCTATCAAAACATAGAGATATATATTCCATAAATACAAACGTATATTGCATATAATCAAAACAATGTTTATATAAAAAAAAATTATTTTGCCATTTTACTGCATTATGTAAATGTGCTATATATGGTTGTGGGTAATAATAATCGAGATCAACATGCTAAAGGTGTACAAAAATTAACACGGGAAGTTGAAACATTTTTGAACATTATTAGATAATTGGACATTAACTACAGTGTATGTCTCACAACTGAGATCAGAATTAATTAGATATATTGAAATACACAATTTAATGAATTGAATCAGTATGTACATATTCTTTCCAGACTTATGCTGCTCCTATTGCTACCGTACCTGCCTACAAACCAGTGGCTTATTCCGCCCCTGCCTTCAAACCCATAACATATTCCGCCCCTGCCTTCAAACCCATAACATACTCCGCGCCTGCCTACAAGCCCGCAGCTTACTCTGCGCCTGCCTACAAGCCTGCAGCTTACCCCGCGCCTGCCTACAAACCCGTAGCCTTTTCCGCGCCTGCCTACCAGTACACACCCCAGCCTGCCTATGTAGCCCAGCCCCAGTACACTGCAGCTTCCGGTTATGTCAAGCCTGTGGCAATCTTACGTCAATCTCAAGATGATAACTTTGATGGTTCCTTCTCGTATGAGTAAGTGTTTTTTTTTATGTCTCACACATACAGGAATGTTTAACGTGTTATAGGCGTGTGTTCAGAATAATTGTATCAAAACTCGAACGTTTTGTGAGTTTGAAACCGTAACTGTTTTTAGTAAGTGAATTATTTTACTATCAACTACTTTAGTTAATCTGATAACTATGATATAAAATTACAATCGATAGTCTATGATAATGTGATTTATAAAATACTGTACCAGTCAAATAAAAAATACTAAATGCCAATTTTAAGACATTGAAATTCCAATTTTCTTTATATAAGTATGGTTTTAAAATATTTCTTCATATTCAACATTAGAAATTAATAGGAATCCCAAAAACAGTATTCCAAACTAGTAAAATTGGATTTTGCTATTCACATTTTAATGAATGGACACTATTAATTTACTTTGTGTTTCTTTTTTCCAGTTTCGAAGCTGAAAACGGAATTGCATCATCTGCAAGTGGTTACGTGAAAAACGCAGGATCCGAGGATGAAGCCCAGGTATACATCATAAATTTAATTCATAATTGTATATATATTTTTTTTTACGTGTGTAAGGTTATTTTTAACTATTTCATCTCTTACATTATTATAAGACATTGCACCATTATCAACACACAGTTTATCAATATCGGGCTGTGTATAGGTTACTACATATGACTCCTTAACTCCATTAACCTCCTTTTACTCCTGTTAAAGATATTCATAAACAAGTGTGTTGGGGTGTGTTGTTAGCCTATGGTAAGCGTATAGGACTTCGATGCGGGAGAGACGAGTTCAATTCCTCAAACGTCCCTTAAAAGAATTTGAATTGAATTAATTCAAAAAATGCCACTGTCGTAGACAACAGCAAAAGAAAAAGAAAATAAATAAAAGTGTGTTCATTTTCTCCGGTTATTGATATGTTATACTATCATTCCTCATATATTTTATCACTCCTGCAGGTAATCCAAGGCCAGTATTCCTACACTGCCCCCGATGGAACTCCCGTGGTCACCCGCTGGTTCGCGGACGAGACAGGGTTCCACGCTGAGGGTGCTCACATCCCAACCCCTGGGGCGGAGCCCTACAGAACTGCTTAAACGTAAACGCTTAAAGTATTAGATATTTCCTTAATAAATATGATTGTACATATGAATCTTATTTTTCTTTCCATTCCTTTCTATTAAGAGTTCGCACAGAATTTAAATTTTCTATACAACATTTTTGGTTGGGTAGATCTTCTGGATTTGGTTGGTTATTATTATGAAAATTATGCATAATTTACAACTGTACTATGTAACAATACGAGCTATATAGCATAAAAACCTAGGATTTATTTAATGATTTATTATTACTTCAACAATCATAGTTACTTTAATATGGCGATTATGTAGAAGCGGGTTTTAATCTAAATATGAAAAAGCTTGAGTGGAAGATCGATATTTTCTACAAAGCTACTGATGCCAACCACGCCTAATAACTAATAAATCTAATGATATTTTTTATTTATTATTTTATAAGTTTCGTCTGGAGACTGATTCGTTTCGTCTTAACAAACGAAAAAATTATCGGTTTTTTAACTTATAAAAATAACTGTGTGTTTTTTTTAAGAAGTAACATTATTTTTGTATGCTCCCATATTGAAAATTCCATAAAAATAAAAGTATTACATTTGAAACGTTAGTGTGGTCTTAACAGAGTTTTACTTCACAATGTGTAGCAAATTACACACACTTACTACTGTAAACATTTTCTAAATTTCTTCTTTCTTCTACAATAACAATTTTGTCAATTACAGTAAAGTACATAATTGGTTGATTCAGATCTAGTTTCCATTGAATTCCACGAACTATACTTCGTTTAAAATATTTAGATGGTTTGAGGAGAACTTTTCCCACACTTTTTTTGTATTATTTAATCTATGTTGCTCAATCAGCAGTTGAGCTATTATTTTAAAGGTAAGGGTCAAGAGAGGGGATAGGCTTTTTTCCCTCAAACCACCAAAATATTGTGAACGGAATAAAGTAATTCATTGTATGGTTTGTGAGGTTATATTATTAATATATAGCTGAGTAACAGTTTAGACTTTTGATGTCATCAAACTCCTGCAGGTTTAATTATTTACGTTTCACCAATACAACTAATTTATCTGAACAAAGGAGAAATAAATCCAAGTCTTGCAAAATAATCAGTTTATTCACAAAAGTAGGTATTTAAAATGCCACAACTTCAGGCCATAGTCCTTAGTAACGCCACTTGTTTAGTGCTGAGTCTTAGCGATGCCCTTAGGTACTGGTGGTGGACCTGGGAGGTGATCTCCCTCGGCGTGGAACCCAGTCTCGTCCGCGAACCACCGGGTGACCACTGGGGTGCCGTCAGGGGCCGTGTAGGAGTACTGACCCTGCATGACCTGGGCCAACTGCTGAGGGCTCAGCTGCTTGACGTGGCCAGCTGCTGAAGACGCGATGCCGTTCTCCGTCTGATATCTTCAACAACCAAATTGATTTGAAATTGTAACGAACACCACAAAATTTAGATTAAATAAACTATTTTCAATTTACAATAGATACAAATTTGCGTTGGGTAGAAATACCCTCCTTACATGTTTATATTTCAATAAAATTGCTATAAATATGATAATTAATTTTTTAAGCCAACAAATGTATTATTTATAGTTATTTTTGTAATGTTTTTCCTATTATGTATTTAAATTGAAAAAAAAAGAAATTAGCAAACAACCTACTTATTATTTATATAACATATGTAACAAACTTGGCCAAACAGCATTACATAAAGGCCTGATAAAAATAATAAATAATTTAATACTTGCATGTAGGATAAACCTTTGGGTAAATTAAAGTAATTGTTTAATTCCGCATACCATCCATACATATCTAAAATGTTGTGTAAAATTGTATAATGATGAAAGTTCTTGATTGCATACCCTTTTGATTTAGATTCAGTACTTTTTCGGTTGGTGGTTAGTAATTATTTTAAGCATGCGAGGTCGTTTTCGTTAATAATGACGCAAACACAATTAGGACGATTATTTATCAGTAAAACGTTCCCCCCCCATCCCCATGCAATTTGCGTGTAAGTTAAATATCAAAATTATGGAAACCCCCCAAACTCGAGTCTTATCAGACTAAAAACCTCTTAAAATATTATATTATGTAATTTGAAAGCACTTTATCTCTTTTAAATAAGTATTATCATTTTTTTGTGGAATAATTATGTTACTTACTCATAGCTGAAGTTCCCGTCAAAATCATCGTCTTGACTTTGAGTAACAATGGCCACTGGTTTGACGAATGCATTACGATTTTGGTTTAAGACTGTAGGCTGGTACTCTACTACAGGTTCTTGATATTGAACAGAAGAATACTGAGAAGTCTTCACGGGCACAATCGAGGCAGATTTATACACTATAGGGTAGGTTTTGGCTGCAAGTGAGGAAGTTTGAGAATTTGCCGAGCCATGGGATGCTAAGAAACTCGAAGCTGGGCTAGTTTTAGCTGAATAACTTTGAGAAGAGTGGCTAGGTGATGAGTAGCTCTGAGATGTGTAGGTCTCTGTTGCATAGCTCGGTGCTGCATGGCTTTGAGATGAAGGTGCTAGATAGCTTGGACCAGAGTATGGCTTACCCGGTTGGCTAAGTGCTGAATAACTCTGAGAGGCATAGTTCTTTGCTCCATACCCTGGTATTACATTACCCTGAGTTGTATGCGCATTTCCTAAATATCTTGGTACTGAATTGCTTTGAGTAGAGATGCTTGCTAATGAAGATCTGTGTGATGAGGAGATAGGAGCTGCATAACTAGGACTTGAGTATGTCTTGGCTGAGAGTTTAGGTGATGAATAACTCTGAGAAGCATATTTATTTGCTGCATAACCTGGTATTACATTACCCTGAGATGTATGCGCATTTCCTGAATATCTTGGTACTGAATTGCTTTGAGTAGAGACGCTTGATAATGAAGAACTGTGTGATGAGGAGATAGGAGCGGTATAACTAGGACTTGAGTATGTCTTGGCTGAGAGTTTAGGTGCTGAATAACTCTGAGAAGCATAGTTATTTGCTGCATAACCTGGTATTACATTACCCTGAGATGTATGCGCATTTCCTGAATATCTTGGTACTGAATTGCTTTGAGTAGAGACGCTTGATAATGAAGAACTGTGTGATGAGGATATAGGAGCTGTAAATCTAGTACTAGAGTATGTCTTGGCTGAGACGCTAGGCGCCGAATAGCTCTGAGGTGGAAGACTGGGTATAGTATAGCTGAGTGATGGGATGGTAGATACCGAATAGTTTGGAGCAGTTTTAGATAATAAGCTGGATTGTGAGTAACCGTGGTTAACTTTATTGCTTATTGCTGAATTACTTTGAGTTGAGTGTATAGGTGCTGAGTAACTTGACGCGAAGTACGTATTTGGTGAGTAGCTTTGCTCTGAATAACTATGATACGAAGGACTTGGTGGTGAATAGCTCTGAACTCCTAGACTATGTGCTGAGTACTGTGGAGCGGGTGTGACTGTGTATATTTGAGGGGCTGGTGCTATGGTGGCCGTGTAGATTTGTGGTGGACCCGGGTAGATTGCAGGGTAAGAGGCAGGCGCTGAGTAGATTTCAGAAAGGGGAGGAGCTGGGCTAGATTGAGCCGAGTAGATTTGCACAGGAAGTGCATAGGCTAGGGTGTGTTGTGGATCATTTTGCACCGGAAAGGTGGATTCTGGTTGGTGGAACTCATTGTGGTGCGCCAAAACACATCCGAGCGAGAGAAGAAGCACAGTCTGTAAAAAAGTCATACTTACAGTAATTCACAATTTATTACTAATTTACATCTGATAATAGATTTTTTTTTTGTCCTAGGACGCTAGGCACGAGCCTGGGATTGTTTTTCACATTACTTCAGGCTAGACCTAGGGGTTGCGGCATTATCACTTAGATAAATCCATTGGTGACTTGGCGGGGATCGAACCCGGGACCTCAGGGACTGAAGTCCCGCGCTCTAACCACTACGCCAGCTCGCTCCCCCCACATCTGATAATAGATTCAGTGGTGATAAATTTTGAAAAATGTCAAAGTTTCAAAGCTTATTTGAATTATCTAATTTTATATTTCATGAACGATGAGATGGATGATTTCAGAGATTTAAATCATGTCTAAACATCCAAGACATAAATTGCAATCAAGCCAACATGGTTACATATGTTTCGGACATTTTTAAAAGAGACTAATAATTTATCCTAGTTGAAAGTGGTGTTAAGATACAGTGATTCTTCTGCTGATTTTATTGTTTTATCCTATTGATGATGAAGATGAAGTTCTAAATTATTCAACTATACCAATAGAAAAACACATAAATCCTGCTACTTAATTAATATTACAAATGAATTATATTATTTAAAAAATATATATATTATTTTTAGTTAAAGGATTCACAAAAATATATGTTAATTACTAAATTGATGGCTTTGTTCCTTAATAGTCGCTTGGTTGCTTAATAATGGCTTGATTCATAATAATTTATAAATAAAAACTTTTTTAAAACAAAACGTTTTTAAATGCACTAAAAAGTAGGAAATAATTTATTAATATGTGGAGAGTATAAATACTTGTAAGATTTAATACGAAAAACGTGGGGTGCATGCAATAGATAATTTACAATTACCTTCACCTATTGAACTAAAATATTATTATCAATTGCATGCACCCCACGTTTTTCGTTTTAAATCTTACAAGTATTTAAACTCTCCACATATTTATAAATTATTTTCTACTTTTTAGTGCATTTCAAAACGTTTTGTTTTAAAAAAGTTTTTTATTTATAAATTATTATTTATTATTCTACTTTTCAGTTTTTAATGTGTGTGGATGTTAAATCTATTTCATGCATCTATATCAGATTGATTGAGGCATGTGGGAAATCTAAGGTTTATTTGAGTTTATCTTCATATAATTATGTATTAGATTGAATGTATGGCCTAACTATAAATATATCAATCTATTTAATTTATTGTTTACTTTATAGAATACTAAATAAATAACAAATGACATTATTAACAAACACCTTAATATCTGCAATCAGATTGTTTATCTTTATTTTGAAATGTTTGTTTGTATAAAGAATCTCTTGGGAGTAGAACCTGTACCTCTTAACCTCTGTTTTTTGAACTGTCAAATTTCAGTATTTACAGCTTACTTTAATTAATTGATATATTTACATTCTTTCAAAATGTAAACATGGCAAATTTGGAAGCCAATGGGGCGTAACCCAAGGGAAATATGAAAATTAAATGCTGTAATATTGCATTGTCATCCACTTGTGAGCTATGTTTCAAATTTCAAGTCTCTAGCTAATCGGGAACTTCGTTTGAAATAGATATCAAAACTTCTAGAAAAGTGAGCTAACAAAAACAAGCCCATGGGGCATAGCCCAAGGGAAATATGTAAATTAAATGATATAATATAGCATTGTTATCTATTTGTGAGCTATGTTTCAAGTTTCAAGTCTCTAGCTCATCGGGAAGTATCAAAATTTTCATGAAAGCGAGTTAATAAAAACAAGCCCGTGGGGTGTAGCCCAAGGGAAATATGAAAATTAAATTATATAATATTGCATTTTCTTCCATTTGTGAGCTATGTTTCAATTTTAAAGTCTCTAGCTCATCGGAAAGTTAATATAAAAATTGATTGCAAAATTTGTACCGAACAAGAAAGCGAGCTAATAAAAACGTTTTAAAATAAACTTAAAAATGTCGACGTAAGATAGGCCTAGTAAAAAGAACTGAGTTTGGTCCGTTCATAAAAAAATTCAAAGGAATGAAAGATTAATATAAAACTAAATAATATAAAAATTTATGATTAAACTTACCCAAGACACCATGATGTCTAGTAACAAGTTATCCTCAGTAGTCACCACAGAAGTGACTTGACTTATCAATCAACTGGTTATATACTCACTCATCTTGTCAAGAGTTTATCGTCATACCAATCCTCAATTCGGCAGATCTACTTTTTTCCCGGACACTTTTCCCGAAGGCCGCGTTCCTGAGGAAGTGTGATGATACCAGTTTCACTACAAATCTCAGTGCCAATGTCAAGATACTTAGTACTCTTTAAAACATAACTGTTTGGTAAAAACCATATTTAGAGAAATATCTTCTTAGTCTCGGAATGGGTACAATTAGAGTAATATAGATAGCAACCTTGATGTCACTCTTAGGAGTAGATCAAAGATATAATATCATGTTATAATGCAAGGTCTCAAACTAAAGGAAGTAGCTGTGGCACATAATTAAGGATGTGATTAAATGTCACTAGGAATTTTGTGTAAGATTTACAAGGCGATTATTGTTGTAGGTAAAAAAAGCGAGGCTCATAAAGTGAAAGCGAAAAAAAGTAATAAAATTTGTTTAAACTTTGTGATTCATTGATTTTTAAATCTGTTTTACACTTTCACTACAAAGACCAACTATATAAAAATATATAAAAAAGTGTCTTCAAAACTATGCTTAATACTAATATTATGTAATGAAATATTTAAACAACAATAATTATAGTAAATTAAAAACTCAGGCTTTGTAAAATCTGTAATATCTTATGCTTTATTCAGACTATTTATGAATCTCTGCAGTGATAAAAATGTTTTCAATATTATGAACACCACTCTTTGATTACTTTTTAAACATATAGCGTAGAAACCCACTTTTCTATTAGAACTTTAAAAGTTTAATATTGTTTAACGAGAGGTGTACACATTAAATCGGTATGTTCTTACATCCTTGTACATTTCTTATTTTGCTTTTCTTCTCTTTACCGTAAAAATAGCCTTATTACCTAGGTTCGGAAAGTAGGTAACCGGATGGAGAAGAAGTTAAGTTAAAGGTTCGGAATTACTGTAATTAGGGTGTTTTCTGTACATAACACCTGCCTGTTGTTTTAGACCTAATTTTATCATACCTCTGCAATAATTTAGCTAGTGAGCTCTTGATTTAGTTAGAAAGGATCTTACACAATTTAGTACCTTACAATTTCACGTCATTTTCAACTTCCACTTTGCAAATTGGTTGAATTTCGAGTATTTTTTTATGTCAATAGCGGAAAAAATGAAATAAATATGTTTTTTATTTAAAAATCTCCACAAGAGGTGTTTTTTCATATGTCTCTGAAAAATAAAATTTGTATTCTGTACAAATTTGCACGCGTCAAGAATCAAATTTGTTACCACAGTACATCACTACGCATACCGAATAATATAAAACTAACCAAGCCCGGTGTCCAGTGTTGCCAAGTCTGTCTATGGATTGTGATTTATAGCTCACGTGTAACATCATAGTCCTACCAGTTATCCCTGAGCCAGTAGTGGCTATTTGTAATACAAATCTCATCTAGTAGACATAAAGCCTCCACCCGCTAGGATCCTCTTATCAATTATTCATATGTAAGAAGCATATCTTGCCTATTTGTCATTCTTCTAAATGTCACAAAAAATGTTGGATTTATGAAGAAGTTATACAACAAATAAAACGCATATAATATATACGCATACAAAATACAACAAATAAAAGTAACAGTTACCGAACAGTTAAAATCTATTGACCTGATGGTTGTATTCAGAATAACCACCTGTTACAATGATTTGTTACTGCGTGTAACTCAAGTTAGTTCCATAATAATTTAAGAGTCCTTGATAAATTACGGACTCTTATGTGCAACGAATACATAGAGAACGAATAGTAGTTTTGGCACAGTGTTTAATCGGTTAAGAATTTCTTTCCACCAACACTATTTAAGTGAAAAATAAATGCAAAGATAAGTTGTTCTTAACAGTTTTCTTTCGAAAAATTACTTTTATTGAAAGAAAATACTGAGGTAGTAAGTTATTGGACCAGTTCAGGGACCGATTTTCTGCACAATGGCCAAAGTAGTGTCGAGGGTTACTTCAGTGGTGCAATTATATATAATCAGTAATTTTATTTCTTGAACTTTACTGGTTAACTTCTTACTTTGCTTGATAATTTCCTCGCACATGTCTAAGTTCCATGGGGTTGCCAAAGCGCAAAGTTAAACAGCCTTCCAGTCCTTTTGGAAGCAAAAAAAAAAAAATAAATAAACTTTATTTTCAATGATTCACAAAGACTATCCTGGAATGTGTAAAAAAGCTCCAGGCTAGAACCTAGTGTTCTTGGATGTGAAGTTGGTAGATAACAAGAGTTATAGTTGATTAAAAGATCAACCAACAGGTTTTGTAATTAAAGCTTACACGTTTATATGATATTGCACTTTTATTTATTCTACGTAGGAAACTGGTTATAAAACATACAGTATATCAGACTATTGAGATAGGGGCTCAATCTGAGCCGGTATTTTGTTCGGTAGGAGTTGTTCATTGGCGGGCGGCAGCAGCGGCTTGTTCTTCAGCAGTGGGAGGAAGACTGCGCTGGTACTCGATGGACTTAGCGATGGCTTCGGGCAGAGGGGGAGGCACTGGAAGGTGGTCACCCTGAAAAAATCGCGTTTTTTGAGTGGACCCTTTTGTGATGTGGAGTTATCCTTACGCGAAAAAGGATCTAAGGTGGGCAATTGAACAACTGTATTTTTTAAACCCAGGATTTAGAGGAGGGGTATTCGAGCTCCATGCATACACCATTTAAATAACCAACCCCCAGTGATTAGTAAAAAATAAATATAATACTTTAAAGTACCTTTAATCATTTGTAAATATTAGTTATCCTGGTCTTGTAGCTATTTGAGGGTGTAAGTGCACCGTCATCAATGTGTGATCTGTTAACCCAATCTTTCCACATCATGAACCCTTTTAACAACAATGGCGCATAATGTGTGACAAATCCCCACAATTGTACTGAGTAAAGCCAAAGTTGTTTTTATTTGATAAATAACTCACTCCTATACATATCACATCAAAATAACCCCTTCTCTATTACCTTCCTTTATTTACATGTAACTACTATATCTGTAACATTCTTCTAAGTATTTCTTTAAAAAGTCAGTATAATATTTAGTTTATCCCTACCTGAACTTGGAAGCCGTTCTCATCAGCAATGTAGGTGGTGGTGATGGGAACACCCTCTGGGGAGTAGTAGGTGTAGCTTCCCTGAATCACCTGAATCTCATTTTCAGTTCCGGCGTTCTTCAGGTAACCAGAAGACTCAACTGCAATACCGTGGTCGGTCTCGTAGCTGCCAAATATGATTTTAGTCGATTAGTTATGGCATAAATCTGTAATATTTTACCAAGAGTCTAGTTTAAAGAATGACTTTTAAAATGCAAAGTTAGTTTTGTTATGTAAAATCGCGTAGCCTATTTAGTCACGATAGCATAACTCCTTTACAATACAGATTCAGTGTACTATTTAAAAGAAAATTACCAATGTTTCTTTCAAGAAGTCCTTAAAGCAAATAAACTTATGTCCTAAGGTCACAAGTATAGAAATGTTTCCTTCTATTCAGTATGTAATATTGATTTCACCACTTAAAATTCAAATCAGAATGAAAAAATCTTGACAAAATAAGCTATAATTTCTCAAGCTCGTTCCAATAACTGAAATAATTACTTGTAAGTGAAAGATCCATCGAAGTTGTTGTCTTCAAATTGCTTCACGATGACATGGACTGGCTCTGCGTGAGGTGCGGAGTATTGGACAGCAGGGGCAGGAGCGCTAACTTTGACAACGGGGGCGGGTGCTGGGGCAGGGGCCGACACCTTGTACACAGCGGGGGCGGGTTGGGGCTTGTAGGATGTGACAGTCTTGTACACCTGGGGCTGCGGGGCTACAGCCACCTTGTAGGAGGGCTTGACTACAGTCTTCTTAACGGCAACCACGTTAGCTTGGGGCTGGGCGAACTGGGTGGAGTATGCGCCAGAGTAGTAGGTCTGAGGGGCTCCAGAGACGATGGTCTGCTAGAAATTTAAAATGCTTACTAGTTAAGCGTGGGGTTTTGGTTATGAACAAGTTATATACGTTCTGTAATTAAAATTATTCTATTGTTTTTCATTGAATACTAGTAATATTTATGAAAGGGAAATTGTTATTTGCGTCATGAAAGTGTTTATTTTATTTTTTAGTGTCTCCGACTGAGACAAATTGTTGGGAAGAACGCAATCGCAAGAACGCAAGAAAAAGTAATAATCGTATACATAATCTTATACAATATTTATGTATATGACTATTTACCCCCTCACACAAAAGGCAAAGACGCTAACCGTTACAAAAAGCACAACATACAAACTTACTTTATGAATGTGTGCAGTCTAAAATGGGCTACACACTACCAAAATGTAAGTTTACTGTTGTACTTTGTTTTGTTGTGTAAGTATTGTATTTCGTTTGCCTAACACTATATAGTTTGATTCAATCGATCAATCATACTATCCCATCTTATTTAATGTTCCAGAGAACATATAATTTAATTTCAAAAATCCTATGCCCCATTTTAGATTGTAATCTATGAAAAATTGTATCGTTTAGCAAAAAGCCACCATACGCAGCAGCATGATAAGCTATTCAATCCTTTGACATTGATCATATCAATAAGATTATTTTTACCTAACAGTTTAGTATTTTTGGGATTCATTCATTAATCTAAGTGACCTAAGGGTTCAGGAAGATTTCAAAAAACTAATATATATATTTTAGCATTAGAGGTCTGTGGCTTTAAGTAAGTTCCAAACCCCATAAAAGTGATTATGAGTTTTTTTTCTTTACAAATCAATTGGATTTCACATCCAAGGTAAAAATAAAATAACATCATGACATATTTTAGACTATAGGTCATCATAAGCTAATCTCATCAGCAACGCCCTTTATCTTTACCAAATTTCCACATATAGAAATAGTTTACTATACATTACCTGGGCTGGGGCACCAGCAATGTAAGCGATCTGCTGGCCTGGGACGTATTGTTGTTGCTGGTAGCCACCCTGCAGGTACACGAT